GGCATTATATACACAAATCAACTTGTTGATTTTTAGATATTTCATTACCTACAAAACTGAAAAAACGTGATAGGCCGAAAGGACATGAATTAACTGTTATTGGATTGCCTACCAAAAAACGAAAGTGTAGTGAAAGCAAAGTATTGCGTTTTATCAAACTTAGTACACGTATGAAACAAAAAGGTAATACGAGTCTACGACTATAATTTTAATAATAGTTATTATTAATTTAAATTTAGTCATATTGGAGTGGTTTGTTGATAAAGACGTAGCTACTCGTGCTCTTGGTAGTCCTCCCAGCCTCATTGAAGAACATAATGTTGAGATAAAGCCCGAGCTAATACATCAAGGAGTCCTGGATGAAAATGTCGACGTTCATCTTGTTAGACCATTCTTTACTACTGATGCATGGCTGTGTGTAACAAACGTGGTACAAGAAAAACAGAAGACACATGTTTACTATTGTAATTGCTGTCATCAAGATCTGGAGAATTTTCCATCTATTGGCTGTGATCATTGCTTGTTATGGACTCACCTGAAATGTTGTGGTCTAAAAGATAGGCCCAAAACAAGATATTGGTTTTGTAGGAAGTGCCACACTAATCCTACTCTGTGATGTGTGTTGTTGAAAATATTTGGATTAAAAAAGTACTTTGATAAACTATAACAATAAAAAGAGTGAATTCAAAGAAACAATGATGAATAATTGTGAGATAAACAAAATTAAAGAAAGAAAATAAGGAAGTTAATTTCAGATAATGATTAATCAATAATTACTATTTAATTAGCTCGTTAAAATGGGCGTGGTTTAGGCACCACGTGATCATGCCGGTTCTAAAAGACCTTGAAAATGGAAACCGGTACCGGTTCCGTAGCCACTTCGTAAAATTAATGTTTCTTCAACAACGCAAAACAAGTCAATACTTGAGCTTCAATATTCCTACAATATAAACACACGTGATATACATTACTTAATTATTTTAACGAGTAAAGTAAATACTTACCATGGCCAGATCGATGTTAATCATCAAAAAGATTTAGAGCCTTGGATCATAATCTATAACAGTAATGAAACACTACGAAATCTCACAACATTCTACATGTATCTTACCACATATTCCATTGCTAAGAAGATGACAATGTGAAACATACATACATGCAGCTGGTACCTGTTGCCTCCTGCAGTGTGGTACAAATAGTCATCAAGGCACTATAACAAAACAATGTTATGACGATGATTATCACAAAAATGAATTTAGTTACCACAATTCAAATTAAACAATAGCCTTAGACATTCACTATCTTATGAAAGTATTACATTACACCTTATTGCTGAATCATTAAATCATTTGCAGCTGTAAATAATATCTGTAAAGCAATGTACAATAGAAACATCATCAACAGCAAGCAATGTTTTACTAGACCTGCATTGTCGAAATACACATTAATAGACCACATGAATACATTACAATGTGCAATCAATTATTTTTGTATTGTTAATCAGAACATGCATGCAGACAGCAAAAGATGCATTGGTAAGCACTCATTTATATTGAGTAAAGAAAGTACTTACTGTGGCCATAATAAATGACATGATAATGAAACGAATATACAGTATGTAACCTAGAATCATAACCTTTAACAAAATACATCAGACATCTCACATAACTCTCCATCTTACTACATATTCCTTTCACAGTAACATAAAACATATACATATCTAAACTGGCACCTCCTACCATGTGATACAACTACTAATCAAGGAGCTGCAACAAAACATTAAGTTACATTTAATAAATAATTAAATTTAGTTACAACAATCTAAATACAGAATTGCCTTTCATTATATTGCACATTCCAATATCAAGCAAAAGAATTCCTGAATCAGCAAATCATTTCCAGCTGTAATTACCTGTAAAGCATAGTAATAGAAACATATCAAAAGCAAGCAATGTAAACTCACAGGCTAATAATAACAATAGCACAAACAGTTATGTCAACAAACTTTATTACCAGTCACATCAAACCTCAATATTTAACACCACATTGTAGTCCTTGCGCCAAAGAAGTACCTGTAAAAAGTATGGATGTGATATGCTAACTAATAATGACAATGGTAGCATCTACAATGTTTCTGATTGGATCTTACATGTATGTGCATGCATGTATTTTAGATGCACCATTGCTTTTTAATGATATCCTCAATTACGATACTTTCATGACCTGCTAAATATAAAATATCAGAAGAATTTCCAATGTGCAAACATTATTTTTTGTTCATTGGAACATGCACATCTTACAACAATCATCAATTAAAGATGCACAACATCAGCTGGCAAGTATTTAATATGTGCACAGCATTGATGGTAGCATCATTCAAACGCGCAATATCAGCCGGCAAGCATTAACTTATTAATGTGCACAGCATTGATGGCAGCATTATGCGCAACATCAGTTGGCAAGCATTTACATATATGTAATGCACATAGCATTGATGGCAGCATTAACATGCATGATGATCATCATATGACTGAATCACTAAAAATGAATAATACTAAATGTAAAAAAATGTTACTCAAAAATTTTTCTTACCTGGAATTCAAATTTTTTCAGCAGAGCCCTGATCCATAAGCACCAGTTATTTGTAATAAACACATGTAGTACTAGCCACAAGCAAGATCCAGATTTGATAATGACAGCTTCCTCCCTTCCTAACCCTCTGTCCTACATAAATGATAGTGACACAAATTTGAATTAATGCTAAACTCTAATGAACAGTAAACCTCTTTCACACCCTCTCCCTGTCCATTATAGCAACAAGTAATCAAAATTTATTATTATTTGCTATACCTTCCTTAATCTCACTTTCTGAATGCAGTTAGAACTCTTCATACTGAGCAATACTGGGTGGATATGCACCAATGTTTTTCAGACACACTCACGCATCACTCACATTGCACATGCTGTCAAATATAAGTCACATTAAAGAACCAATGTTTTTAAGATGATGAACCTCCAATTCACCATACCCACTTTACATGAACAATCTATGTTTAAGAAATATTAATAGACTTAACTGCTTGGATATGATTAGTACCAACATGCTTCAAATACAACGCAGGTGTATTAGTATCACAAGGAATACCATATCACTCCTGGGTACCATATCTAGCCCAGCCAACGAAAGTAGGATTAGGTAAATATGAATATATGGTTCTACCTAATATTGCAGATAGTGTAATTATCTTTGTGTCAGTAGCCGACACAATTTTTATACGTTTTGGACTTGTTTATGCAAACATATATGCTTGAATATCTGGTTGCACTTAATGTACTATTAAACAACTCTTCTTCAAAGTTTGGCATGTTACTAAAAATTGCTTTACATAATTCATAATCCTGAGAAACTAACACAGTATTGAGATATGAAAGGGCATAAAATAAACAGTTCCCATCACCAGGGACATCAAGAGTACTATTAGGAACTCTTTCATCTGACGATGGTGTTGCTGGACTACCAGGTAAGATTCTAGCTGCTGTGACAAATTTGAGATTTAAAATCTCACACCACATTCTTTGAAAATCTTCATTACTAGGGTGATAAACATAATGCCTTTGTCTTCACACAATATTTGGGTTGGGAGGCTCTTCATAAATAAAGATGACATCTTTTTTTAATTACTTGTCTCTAATTTAATGCTTGAGAGTTTTATAGATACAATCAGACTACTACTACAATGGTCATTTTTTGCAACACACTTGGTATTCTTATGTTTTGGTTTACATTTAATGTTTGAGAGTTTTATAGATACAATGAGACTACTACAACTATCATCATCTTTGACATTAAATTTGGTTTTTAGGTCTTTCAAATTAATTGAAACAATTAATTTATTATCATTTTTGGCGAGGCAATGCCAAAGCCATATTGTCAGTACTACTGTCTATATCAATTTTCCTTATTTGGGGGCTAGGCTAATTTAAAGCATTATCATCATATACTTTACTCGTTATTGGATCATTAGACTTTTGTAAATTAGTAATCTTACGTTTATTGCTACTGAGACCACTGATACTAGTTCTTTGTACATGACGTACAGACACCGTGGACTACAATGTTCACCCTCATCAATTACACCAGTCACTTGAATCTTTGTCTTCTTTCCTGTACTTTTCTTGATTTATGTTTTTCAAAATTTACTTCTCAGTCTGTTAATGCACGGATCGCTAACTTAAACAGAGAGAGGATCAAATAATAATAAGTGTAATCCATTTAATGTACGTACTCGAGACAATGCAGCATATGCCATACCAATCAATAATGGCGGTATTTAGTGAGAGGCCCTGACATTAACAATTAACTGGTGGCAATTGTAAGAGGTCACCTACAAATTAAATATTTTTGGATCCAAACCATTCATCATTCCAAATATATCTGCAAAGCGCATGTGTAAGTATGCTAGATTTAGATTGGATACTATAGATACCTCGTCTACTATAATACTTTAAATTTTGATGTGTCATTTTTATTTATCCTTTTCTGAGCATTTTTATTCAAAGTCAAATATCCAGCTGTAATTCCCTCTACTCTATTGGTAGCTGAAATAATCTTTCGTATAGCAGAAAATTTTTGTGGCCAAACATTTTTGTGGATTTTGCATTTTTTTCAAAACCCACAAAAATAAAATCCGCAAGAATTGATTTATACGGTTTAAGATGGCAAAACTGTAGAAAATCACGAAAATTAAAGCCACAAAATTGATTTTTGGACTGCTCCACAAAAATTTTCCACTATACGGTATGTATTGTTAGTCCACCTACAATTAATGCGGCTATACCTCCTGTTGGTGCTATTATAGCACACATAATTTTGCCACTTTATTGATGCCATATGTCATCTATTAGGCATTTTATTGCTTCTATCAAAAACAATTTACCTGTTTCACCTACACCACTAATAAACATCCTTAGTAGTTTGATATTATCTAATCTAAGTAGTCTTAAAGACTCATTCTCTAATAAGTCTTCACGTTCCTTTTGACTTATGAGATGACTCTTAATTTTATCAAAAATTCTTTTTTGATCTACATTAAGCATTGCCTTTCTTTGCTCTAATGTTAGATTAGGTACATTTATGTGCATGTCAGCAATATCAGCTACTGCTTCCATTATTTCACCCAGTAATTGAGGCTCATCATCTTCATTGTTATCAAAAAGTTTTTCTTCACCGGCTTTAATTCTTGCATCGACTATTTCCTTCCAATTACGTTCAGCTTCTTATAGTTTCTGTAGTTGGTTGAAATGATTTTCAATGCTACGTATAGATGCTTCTCTGTGACTCCTAAAAGCTTCTTCCATTGTTTCTCTTTCCATTATGACTTTGCCTCATCTCTAAAAGGTACAAATAAAAATATTAGCGAGTAATAAATATAGTCTCTTTCCGCTTGTTGCATTGGATTAAATTTCCTATGGTTTGGAAGGACTAGTTTTCATTGAAGTTTGTGTTCTCTTTCTCCATTTCTCCTATTTCATCAAATTTGTCATTGGCAACTACTTCATAAGGAGATACATCTTCCATGTTATTCGGTCTTGTTGGATAAAAGTCTTCAATTTTACTAGGATTAGAAATGTCTTATGAATAGTTTTTGATTTTTCTGCTCTTATGAGGCAAGTGCACCTTCATGTACTGTACGGTTTCTGATTTCATTTATAAACTTTCACTGAGTTGATTGCTAGCTTCATATAGTCCTACTTATTTAGCTCGAACTAATTTTTGGCCGATTTGTCAAAGCATGCTGTTTATGTTGTCACAAATGCTCACTTCATCCCATAAGTCCTGTGCATGACGCTTTTCTAATTTGGTGACATCCAGTTACATACTCTGTTAAGGAAAGACTCCTCTCTACTATATGTTGCAAGTCCATATTTGCATGCCACAATTTCAGCAGTAAAGGATTATAGTCGTAAACTGGAACTTCTGTTTCATTTTGTTTGAGATAGTATATTTTATTGCATGATTTCAAGCTATTTTCAACATTATTAATGCAACTACTATCTCGTACTGGTCTAGAAAAATCAAATTGGCATCTAGATACATAGGTCTTGCCGACTTTAATATTTCACTTGCAGTATTTGCTGCACTTGTACATTTGGTATTTTTTACCAAAAAATTTAAATCAAGCAATGTATTACTATCTGGTGTATGACAGGTAATTCTATCTTGTATGAAAGAACAGACTTCTTCTGGACAATCGATACCGACAACAGGAGCATTTTCAATCCATGGGAGGATATGATAATGATGTGCTCCACGCATTTGATATTATTTTTTAACATAATATTGCTCTACTTTGCCTAGAACACCTCTCTGGAGAATGACTATGTTAAAAAATCCTTCAATTTGTCTGAAAATTGTCACGATACTGAAACAAGGTCCTTAGTACATAATCTAGAAATACTATATGATTGTGGTGCATTATTCCCTTTTCTTAAATATTGTGCTATATCAGCTAATTTGTATTCAGCACAACTTAATGTTAGGAAAAGTGATGGCCAGCCATATTCAGCAATCATTGCTTTGACTTCCCCTTTCACACGAAACCAATAATGATTTGTGCCCTGTATTGGAGCCAACATGGTACTTAAATTACCCTAAAATTCTTGATCTAACTCATTTATTTTTTCTAATAATCAGCAACAGTGTGATCAACGTTACCCCTTGATGATTCTAATAAATTATATATGCCAGGTTTTAAAGCTTTCTTAATTTTCAATCCGTAATAGTGCAGACAATATGAATGATTTCTACAAAATCAGGAATCTTTGTTTAAAAGTCTTAATTTAATGTATTCACTAAAATGATAAAGTCTGTGCTGGATAGCTTTATCTGGAATGATGCTCTCCATATTGCCCAGTTGGAAATAAAGTAGGAAAACATAACATATCAGGATGCTCTTGCCTATTGTCAATAGGTGCTTCTTTTACATTCATTAACTTATTATGACTAATATCAGAACCTGTTGCAACTTTACTATCAAAATCTGTAATCATCGTTTATGCCAAAAGGCCTTCTAAATCTTGATCATTTGCTTTTTTAAGCATTTTGCAAGTAGTATTGGTAACTACTTGTGTAACTTTTTTAGACGATTCGTCAATTGAATCATCGTCTACACTTCTATAAAGCCAATTTATTTCTTTTCATTTTCTTGATGCTGCTTTTATTTTATTTACATCAACTAAGCTACACTAGACATTATTTAATTTTGTAGGCTGTCCATTAATAATAATATAGAGTTCTGGATTAGGCAAGTGATTAGAATCTATACTAACCTCATTTAAATTTTTTATCATTTTTTCTAATGGAAGGGGTAAATATAACATTGCACTTTAAGAACCTTTAAAGAATTATAGGCTGGCAATTTTAAGGTGTGTGCCTAGTCTAACAATTGTCTGAAAACATGTAGCCCTCTGTATTAACTGGCAACTTAAAGGATCCTAATTTTTTGATTCTTTGGGTAGTGGCTCACACTTTAACCCATTGAGCACACAACGTGCTGGAACTTCATTTTTCCTAATAATAGGTTTACAATGACTACAAATATACATAACTTTATTTAATGCTGTAGCATCAGTCTCTCTAATGTAATCTAATATGATATTCCAAACATTGCCATTTAAATTTTTACCTTTAGGGACAGATTTTTTTTCTTAAAAGCCTACAACACACATTAAAAGCCTGATCAGAAAAAGCTTTCTTAAATTCATTAATAGAATCTGAATACTGAAAATAAAGTACAGTATCAAAGTTTGGTATTCTACATGGGTCTTCTTCTTCACCATCATTAATAGCGTAATACACAGTATCAAATTCAGTCTCATCGGCTTCATTAATTTTTAAATTTATCAATTGTGCTATATCACCATCAGCAAGGGAAGAATCAATAATATCTATTGTTAAATGGGCATTTCTAGCAACATAAAAGTGTTTCAAAAGGCGTCTCAACAAAGGATAATGAACAGATGCATTGCGTAAAATACGCAGCATGCTTTTACATTCAGTATCATTACTACTACACACAATAGGATGGCCTATTCTTTCACAAACAATTTCTGAATATTTAAAATATTTTTCAACATTATTTTTATCTTTTTTTACAATTATCATTACATTTGCATTATCACAGAAATCATGTTGATGCACTTGATCTATTTCTTTAACATGCAGGTATAGTGCTTATTAGGACAATTATCACATGCGTCTAAATGCTTCCTCATTTCTTTAATGGGTTCATCAAAATATCGTCTAACTCCAAAAATAGACCTAACGTCACTTTCGATTAAAGGCTTGCACCTGTTTGTACAGTGCCTATTCAGGGTTTGCTTTCTCTTATTAGCATACAATCTATTATAATCAACAATAGCCTATTCAGAACATTACATTCTTCTACTCTATCAGTACATGATACATTAATGTGTACTCCCTACAATAGGTTATGGTGCATAATTGGGATTGTACCAACCATTTCCTCTTGCTGATGATAACTAGTGATGGCAATATCAATTGGTTTATCCGATACTCTTGATATGGTATCAGTTGGTTTTGTTTTTGATCAGTATTGCCTAACACTAGCAATGCGTAAACGGTACTCAATGGGTGTGGCTCAATATTAAAACACACCCACCTTACTTAATAAGGGGCATGGCAGTTATTAAGGCAGTTTTGCTAATTTTCATAATTATTCTGCATGCAAAACACACCTCAATGCCACTGAGCGCAAGCTCTCCCAACAACCCCACTGCACCACACACTTCCACACACTTATCTCCACTCTCCTCCTACCACTCACTCATTGTTTCTTTATCATGATAATTAAACAGATGACACAATATTCATTAACCACAACAAAAACTGACACATGCAAACATTAGAGATACTGTACATGTACCATTGAATTATACTGATGAGAAAACTAAACACACTCACGTCCTTCATAATCTGGCCCCTAACCCGCCACTCTTCCCTAACTGGGCAAGATCCCTGGAGACTTCCACGAGCTGTTCCCTCGGAATCCTTATATACAGCAGGTATGCAGTACTCTCCCACCGGCCCAAGGTCTTGATAATTGAATCTTCAATTTTTAGTTCAGCTGCTGTTGTGGCTGCTCCTGCCCTAAAACTATTGCCTGAGTATTCTGCCTTGCAGTAACCTGAAGACTCCAGTGCCTTCCTAACTTCCATCACAAGCTGTGGTTTGGTAAAAGGTGATCCGTCCTCGTGCTTGAACAGTGCTCCTTCCCCATTCCCTCTCATTCTAAGATAGTTAAACATTGCCTGGACCGGGCAAAGGTCATCCCCTGTTCTCCCCACTACCACATTAATTCCTCTTCCATATGGGTCAGTCTTAGATGTACGCAAACTGACTTGAATGAGGGTTGGTTCCGCCCAACTGTCCGCGGCCACACTGTCAAATGTTAAGTGCTTTTTTGGCTCAAAGTCTTGGGCGTGGGAAACCACAAGCTCCCCTGCCAGCATAAAGCCAAAAAAGCAAGTAACTACAGTAGCCCATAACATTGTGCACTTGTAATCAGAGCCAATCCCCACCCAATAGGCTCTCATTTGCCTCAAAATAGCTGGGACGATTATCCTCTTCTGAAGGGCCTTACCTTGCTGCCCTCTGATCCTGCGCAGACCTTTAATGATTCGTTCCAGTCTGGGCATCTTTGCAAAGAGTGGACTTGGGAAACCGTATTCGATCTGTAGATGCCTGACTGCTGCCATATAACTTTAGATAGTGCTATGCAACAGACCCTTATCTCCAAAATGAGCTACAAAGTAGCAAATTGTTTTCTCTGATACTGGTAGCACCTCTTTAATGCCACATTCTTTACAAAAATTGATGAATTGTTTCCTACCCAATTGATACACTTTCCTTGTGGAGTCAGCTGAACCTGCTAAATAGTAGAGGCGAACAGATTGATCCAAGCTGGTGAAAGCCAGTTTGGCTCCAGCCGTAAGACCAACTCTATCAGGTCTCTTGGTATTTGTGTTGAAGGAATTGATTGCCAATGGAGATCCTGGGCAAAAAGGGAGAAAGATTTATTGCGAGAGATCAAATCAGCTGCTCTATTGTTATGACCTGGTATGTAAGTGGCAGAGAACCAAAACTGAAACTTAGCTGCTGCAAACACCAAGCATTTTAGAAGGTGTGCCAGGATTGCATCCTTTGAATACAATTTATTGAGAATAGAAACCACACTCTCGTTGTCAAATTTGAATTGAACCATCATTCCTGCCCCTTTCCTACCCCAGCCAAGGGACGCTAGCTCAATGGGTACCAACTCCAAGACTGCAATACAGTAGTTCCTGATACCCACATCTGAGGTTCATTGATGCGGAGCCACTCCTTCTCTGTCAGTGCCCCACACCCCCAAGAACCAGAGGCGTCACTCTAAACTGTAACATCTGGGTGGCTTCTTCGGCTTTTCCAGAACAATGAGAGCCCATTGCAGTCCTTAGGAAAAATACGCTACCAGCTGAAGTCACTCCTAACTTCCTTATTAAGTCGTACCAAATGCTCTGGACATCTTGCCAGTTTCAACAGCTGATACATTTGTCTCACAGAGCATCTTTCTGGTCGTATGACTTTGGCTGCAAACTGTAAGTGGCCTACTAATGACTATCTCCTCTAAGCTTTTAACTTCATTGCCCTGCCATTCCTCCAATAATTCCCGTAATTTAATGACTTTATCGAGGGGCAAAGACATTTGCATGGTCCCTTTGTCAAATTCAATCCCCAGTATCACCAGCCTCTGTGCTGGGCCTTCTTGTTTTTCCTCCGCCAAAGGAACTCCCAGCTCTGCACACAGATCTATCATAATAGCCAGGTCCCTCCTTCATTGGTCTCAACCAGGAGCCCCTAGTATCACGAAGTTATCTAGATAATGTATGATATTTTTAACTCCTCGCACCATAGCCACAAACTGAATGGTATCTGCCACTGCACTAAAAATTCGGGAGGCCAATCGAAGTCCAAAAGGGAGGACTCTATCCACAAAAAGTTTGTCTTCCCATTTCATCCCCAAGAGTATTTATCTTGTGGGCTCACTGGGATTATTCTAAACGCACTTTTGACTTCCGTCTTGGCCATCATGGTGTCCTGCCCTAACTCTGCAATGCGTTCAGCAATCATATTCACCGAGACGTAGTTAACAGGAGAGTGGGCTTCCGGAATAAAATCATTAACACTGTGTCCCTCTGGAAATGACAAATTGACTATTAAACGATACGTCCCCTATTCCTTCTTGGGTATTACTCCAAAAGGGCTAATTTGAGCTATACTCAGCTCTCTCGGGTCTAGCGGGCTCCCTGTGTGTCCCAAGCGACATTCTTTCTCCAAGTATCTTTTCACTACTGCCAAGAGCTCCCAGCTTGAATGCATATTATGTTTGGCCTGCTTCAGCCGACCCCATTTTTGATACTAAAAACCCACTCGGAAGCCCTACTGCCGCTTCCGGAGAATAAAGGCTGTGAACTGAGGGTCCGGTTGTAGACTATGAGAGTCTCGCAACTGGTCATTGCCTCACATATAGGTGAGACCATCTCTTTTAATGCTAATGGAAGATCCACTGGGAGCAGCGGCTCTTGCTGTTGTAACTGTACTAGGCCGCTCAGCCCACAATAGTGACCCTGAATGATATTCCCTGTCCAACTGTGGCTGCCTCCTGTACTACACCATGAGAGAGAGAGAGAACTATTATAACTCTTCTCACTACTATTAACACTAGTATACTATAATTCGTTATGGTTCCTTTCCTTATTATTATTATTATTATTATTATTTTCAACTGTCAATCTATCTTTATTAACATGATAAGTGACAATGATTATACATTGTATAATGATAATAGTCCCAAAAAGGGGCCAAGTCACACCCCACTTCTGCGGAGGCCATTAATGAAGCTTCTTAGGGCATTTTGACTGGGGGTGCCCCTCTCCACAACCATAACACACATGAAAACTAGTTTTCTCTCGCTTTGGCCAGAGTAGCTAAAGGGGTGGCACACCAACCCTTTCCAATTCTTCCCGGCTTTCCCTTTCTTGTTACTCACCAGTGGAGGTGATGCCTTCCTCTTCAGGGGTTTCCTCCTGAGTATGGCTGGAGGTAGGTGTTGGCACTTCTTGCCTACCCACTGTCTTATTCCATAACGACACATCCTTCTTTTACCACTTTGTCACTGAGCCACGAGCAGCTGCAAATCTATGGAACTTGAAATCATACACTAGCCATCCATCACCACGATAGTCCCTTGCCCCACGAGCAATGAAACTGCTGTAGGCCAGTAAATCCCCCAATAGCTCGTGACTTTTTTTACCTCTGATTGCAACATAGGTCATGAATGCTTCAATCCATGTAGCCAGGTCCCGTATTTGTTTTTTCTGGGATCTCAGTTGTTTGCCTGCTGTGACTACGACAATGCCTTGTTCCTCTAAGTCACTCAAATTGGACTCATCCATTGTGGGTTTCTGTTGTAATAAGTCTTTGAGATCAACATAGTCGCCCTTTGAATTCTTTTGCTGGCACCAGGGAGGAAACCTTCTCCCACCCATACTAATTCACTTTCTTCTGCCTTTGGTGTGGGCACTCCTGCCCCCAAATAACCTGCTGCCCCATCACTGATCAACGTGTCTATTGACACTGACTCCTTTGCTATAGGCAGGGCCCTTATGGGTACCTCTTCTGTAGTACTACCCTTCGTAGGACCTCCTTTTCCTTTATCAAATATAAAGGAAAAAGCAACAATAGGGGCAGGATTCAATGCTGGAGAGAAGATGCATGGGTTTTATGCACTTGTCCCTGCCACGCCCCCTGAAACACTTGGGCACTGACTTATACTGTGTAAGCACTGCCACCCTTGTTGCCCTCCTGTGCCCATCCTTTTTGGCCACTACCAGGCCCGATTTTTCTGGCCCCTATATGGGCACTAACGCCCTCATTGGGGCTGCTCATTCACTCTTAAGAATGGGTGTATGTGTTTGTGTATGTGTGTGTATGTATGCTGTGACAGGGTACCTTTTGTCCCTGAACCTGTCATTGTTGGATTCAATTTGGAGGCCACTATATCGGCTAACACCTCGAGCAATGCAGTAGACAGCCCCAATATTTCGTTGGTAAGCAACTTCTTTTTACTGGAAGATGGGGTATCCTTATCCCTCTATGACTCCTCTGCCTTGTCTTCATCTGTCATCCTAAGCTCCTGTACTGTGAAGTGTGAATAAGCTTTGTGTTGTGTTAACTACTTCTCTTGCTGTCCTCGTGTTCTCTCTGTCGTTCTCATGCTCTCTGTTTCTCTCCTTGTGACACCACCCAATTGGGTGGGGCTCCGCATTAATTGTAGATGAGCACATTAACTTTATTCAACATTTATTTGTTAAATTGCATTCAACAATCCCTGCTACATAACAGATGCCATTTGTATCAACAAGGATTGCAATTGCACTATCTAATTGGCTATCAGCATTATCATTAGGATACAAATATCAATATTCCAATTCATAAAAATTAATTAAGGTTCACTATTCTGCGAGTGACATTGCTCACCAAAATTACTAAAGGTATTCAACTTCAATTTCCTAATGCTATTTAATGCAAGTATCAATACGGCTACTTTGTGGGATCTGTTTTTCAAAACTGATTCTAACAATATACTTGATGCAGCATTACATTTACTGTGATTTGATATGTTTTCAAAATCTACACCTTTCATACTTGATGACAATAAATCATCAACAATTTCAGGGCTATATTATAATGCTTCAATAACTTTAGTAAAATAATATACCTTTGCTTCACTATTTCATGCAGCTAATGAGTAATTAGAACATAATCTATACAATATTTGACCATAATTACAATCAAAATAATCTTTATGCTTATTACTTTCTTGACTTAGTGCCATTTAATTCATCTATTTTGCTATCAGAAAATTTATATTTGAAAAATTTATCCATCGTAGCACGTAATATTTTGTCTCTATTCACGTAATACCATTTTAAGGAGTTTTGTTTTTGAAAGTCCAGATTTTTATGATAGCGTTCCTTTTATTTACTTTTTTCAGGGTTAAGATTGTTTTAATAGTGAATCCTAGATGCTTCTTTCTTTCGTTGTGAATTCTTATGATACTGATCTCTAGAGGCTTCTTTTTGTGGTCTGGATTACTCCTATAATTTGTTTTAGAATAGCAAGTTGATTTTAAAATTTTGCTGTCCTTGCTTTTATTATACCAATTTTTACATTTTTGTAAAATGTAACCTGGGTTCAATGCATGAATTTTTTTGTGTACCCAAGCTTATATTTTGTAGTTATCTTATATGCAACTCTAGCTTTGCTTTTGACCCTGTTACAATGGCTCATATAGTGAGCTCTAGCATAGGTCCTGTTTTTAAACATGAAAGTTTCCATTTCCTCTCTATTATTATAAATCTTTCAGAACTTTTTTTTGGATTTAGCCCTAGTTAAGTCACTTTTCCTTTTCCTACTTCCTTTTTTTACAACTAACAGCACAACAACTACACTTGTATAATAGTGAGTGGGCGTATCAAAGGCACCGCCTGTGGTTACAAATGTGATGTAACACAGCTTTCATTTTTAACACTCCCTGAAGTTTTATTTGTAGCCCTGTGGGTTGACAGCAAAAATCTCTTAAAATAAAATGTAAGAAACAACATTATTGTACAGGTATTATAAGCTGAAAGTCAACTGTCAATAAAGCTTGCAATAA